GCGCGCCGTCGACCTTTGCCAGAAGAGCAACGTGCAGGCGCAGACAACGAGCGCCCAACCACATCACCACGCTCCTGGAGATGGCGATCGGACAAGACGCCGGCACCGGACGCCCAACCCACCTTGTCTCGCTCTCCGACGGATGGGGCATCGCGAGATACGCGCTCGGTGATTTACTGTCACGGATGGGCCGCATCGACCTACGACGCTCCTCTAGGCTGGTCGGAATCGACCGACAGGTCGCGCAGCGAGTCTCCGATTATTGAAGCCTGAACAGGGCCTTGTCTTTGGATGGTGGCCCTCCCCACGCGCTCCTGACGCGCGACTTGCGGGGCCTGCTCCGCCCTGGCAGCGGCGCTGGCGGCGCGTTCTGGGAACGGTATCTCGATGCACTTGAGCCTGGATCGCTCGTCGCACTTATCGGAGGAAACCCCTGCAACGGCCTCTCCATGGCAGGCTGCCTGCGCGGTGGCGACTGCCTTGCAGGACAACGCTCTCTGCGCTTCTTCGCCATGCCCCTTGCCTGGGCCCTCGCGGTGCAGGGGGTGCCTGACGTTGTCTTCAAAGTTGTGGCGGGAAGCGTTGCCTCTTTGCACCTGGGGCATAAATGCGCCAAGCTGCTCTTGGAGATAGCCTGTGCGACTGGGCGCCGAGGATGGACTTCTTCGCATGGGTCGCCAGCCCGCGGGAACGTCTTTGGATGGTCTCGTTCCCGCCAGTGGACGTTTCGCTGTCGCGCCCGCGCCTGCCGCCCCCCATGGGGGGGCGGGCGGGCGTTCCACCGGCGCGGCCCCACCCACCCCTGGACGCGGTCGCGCGGAGACGACGCGGGCGAGGTTTTGCCTGGCAGTTTCCAACTGCACCCCAAACGTCTGCTCTACCGCGGGGACAGTCCCTACCGACTACCGATGGTTACTCGCCATCATGAGCGACATAAAACCGACTTCTAATGATCGTCGACGGGCGCAGGGCGGCGCAGAGGTTTCAAGGCTGCCGCGAAGGACAGGTCCTGGCATGGAGCGGACGTGAACGGGTAAGCGGCCAGGAAGAAAACCGAACACGGCCCTAGGGGAGGTGGCTCATAGGAGAGAGGGTGCAAAAGTGCCCTGACGCGGAGTCGCGAGCCTTCGCAGGCTCTCTGGGATGGCCGGACAGCGAAGCAAGAGCGACAGCGTTGGATGCGGACTCCCAGGGCCACGCCGCGTCAAAGCGAGAACGAATTCCATGGAACATCGCGTTTGCATCGGCACGACAACGACGATGACGGAAAGGCACCGACATTCTCAAGAGACCCATGCGGAGCGATTGAGCTTTGAGTGGATCCAAGTTGGAGTGCTTCCCGAGCCTATCCATTTGCACATATATATATACATATATATACATATATATATATATATATATATATAAACTGTGTGTATGAATATGTCACGGGGTACGAGCACATCGGATTCGGACCGCTCCCTCCTCATGAACATTTGACGCTCAGATTCTACGGTGGGGTCGGGGGGTCCGAAGCTTGACGTCTTATGGTCAATGGTAAAATACCCCCCGTGCGTTACTGAATGCGACGGGCCCCGCCCGTTTCGATTCAACGTTGTTTCGGCTTCCATCCTTGTGCGACTTTATTAAATAAACTGTTTGCACGGCGATGCATTTTGAACCATCTGGAGTTTGTTGTTGCCATCTTGGAGGCCATCTTGCGCTCTCTGAATCCATTCTGGAACCATCGCAAGTGATATTAGGCGCTATAGTCCCTCGCGGGGCGCCCCGTCCAGACCCACGGAAGGGGGTATGGGGGAGGGGTCAAGCTACCCACCCACCCAGGGCTCGCCACGCATGCCAGACGCGCCACGCGAGCCAGGCACCCCTGGGGCCCGAACGTGTCAGGCACGCCTGGTGCGCCAGATGCGCCTCGTGTTCCGAGCGCGCCAGGTGTGTCGCACACTCCAGCCGCGCCAGGTGCGCCACGTTCGGGGCACGCGCAAAGTGCGTCAGGTTGGTTTGTGCACGTGACTGCTGTCACGTGCCTTGGGCGAGGTGCGCCACGCATGCCAGGCGCGCCACGCGCGCCAGGCACCCCTGGGGCCCGAGCGTGTCAGGCACGCCTGGCGCGCCAGATGTGCCGCGCACAGCAGGTCACGCGCCACCACCCCGGCCGTCCCTGTCAAAAACCATTTGACAGTGATCGCGAGGTGGCCGCGCATGATCCACATTTCGCCGCGAGGGTTGTATGGTTTGGGTTGCCAGGAGTGGTAACCACAGCAGGGAACATGCTGATACCCACGCCGTCCCTGTCAAAACGATACAACCTGCTTGCGGGCCTCACGAACATAATTTAAGACTTTGTCTCAACGTGTACTTCGTATTGTTTTTGATACGGGATGGTGGGGGGATCGCATCGGGTTTGGGCCGCGCATGCTCCAACTGTGGGAGCAAAATGCGAGTCGCATTGTTTTTTGACAAGGATGGCGGGGGGGGGTCCGCGTGGGGTCAGCCTGGTTCCAGGTTGGCCGCCAGCCGGGTGGGGGAAGGGGTGTATTCTAATAGGGAGCAGTGATCAAAACACCTTCTTAGATACCTAGCACGCCGTCTAGCTCACCCCCACCCGCCCTCCCAACACATACGTATCACCCAAACCCCAGCATGCTCGGCGGTGTTTAGGATGGACAGTTACCGGGAAACAAAGCCGACCCCAGGTGCGCGTCGCTTGGGCGTGGTGCGCCACGCATGCCCTGCGCGCCGCGCGCGCCAGGCACCCATGGGGCCCGAGCATGCCAGGCACGCTTGGCGCGCCAGATGCGCCACGTGTTCCATGTGCGCCAGATGTGCCGCACGCTCCAGCCGCACCTGGTGCGCCACGTTCGGGGCACGTGCACAGTGTGTCAGGTGCGCCTGTGCACGTGACAGCACACATCGGGAAACATGTCGGCCCCCACCTTCCTTGTCGAAAGCCAGTGCCCATCATGGTGCCGGGTGGGCCTGCGCACAGCAGGTCACGCGCCACCACCCCTGCCGTCCCTGTCAAAAGCCGCTCGACAGTGATCGCGGGGTGGCCGCGCACGATCCACATTTAGCCGCGAGGTGCATGTTTGAGCTTTTGGTGACAGGGATAGTGGCCCCGCGCCCCTGCGCACAGCAGGCAATATGCCAACACCCCCGCCGCCCCTGTCAGCAAAAACAATGCAAAATGCTCTCGGGCCTCACGAACATGATTCAAGACTTTGCCCCACATTGTATGTTGCATTTTTTTTTGACAGGGACGCGGGGGGACCCTCATCGCGATGGTTGCGCAGGCTGTGGATTTGGAGGCAGAGTGTGTTTTGTATTGTTTTTTGGCCGTGGTGGTTGGGGGGGGGCACAGGGTCGGCAGTGTTCTTGGTTGGCTGCCTGTCGCCTGGGGGAGGGGGTGTACACTAATGGGGAACAGTGATCAACCCTTCCCCCGTGCAAGGGGAAACATGTTTTTGCAGAGAGCCCCAGAAGGGCATCTCATTATTTTGCACAGTGCGTTAAGAGTTCCGACGATTTTATTTCGGCACGGCACCAGTCCCCCCTCCGCCTTTCTCCATCGCCATTCTCCGCAGCCGCCAGCGCGCCCCGTCCGTTCTGACCCCTTAATTTCGGCACGGCACCGGTCCACCCTTGGTCCCTTCCCGCAGCCAGCCCACCTCCCTCTGCCCCGCCAGTCAGCCCACCCCCTCCGCCCCGATTCCCTGCTTGTGGCACGGCAACGGCGCTTGCGGATGGGGGGGCGCCATTGTGGCTCCGGGGGGCCGCCCCTCTCTGCAGCCAGCCCACCTTCTCCTCCCCCCCCAGTCAGCGCGCCCCCTCCACCCCGACCCCTTTATGATGCCCCGCCCGCCCGAGACACTAGGGTTTGCCCGCCCGGCCCGCCCTTTGAGGGCTGGCTCGCCGTCAGTTCATCCAGATAAAGAAAAGTACAGTGCGCGCACAGTCGCTTATCTCAAACTATTGTTTTGAAGTGGTCCTCTGCAGAAAACGAAACGATGTCCAAGCGCGCGCACATGCCGAAATACGACTAAACACGGGAGTGTTAGATCGTGTCGACATACAGCCCAAATAGTTCAATTGCCTTCAATACAATGTTGCAGGTGTTCTGTTCGCGCGATTTGTTGAAATCATCGGACAACCTACGAAGTGTTTCGTCCAGAACCCGTTTTCTCATGTCACCACGCGCTGCACCATGTTCATCTAGCATGCGTTCAGTGTACGAATCCGTATCTCATGATACAATGCGGGCCACATGCGCGCGCTGCAACGCGCGCGTGTAGAAATCTCTTCGAAACCATTCGTTCCCGAAGCATCTCAAGATAGAGCTTTTCTAGGTACAAGGTACAGCTTATCAAGATACCCTTCGAGTGTGAAGGCGGGGTGTTTGTGCGAGCATCGGAGTATACGACTTCAAGTTCTACAAGGTGGATTGCACCTCATCAGATCCACATCCAGGTTGCACCAACCCCATATTTGTTTTTTTGTAAGAAATGTTGTGCAACCTGCAGCTGCAGCCGACCTCTAGCCCCCCGCCCCACTAAGGAGGCCCTACTACCCCGCCCGCTACATTATGTTAGATGCGTGGTGCAATCTAGCTGGCGCAGGCTTGATCATGGTGCAGGCCATGCGGTCCACCTGGAGGGTGGGCAAGCTATGCAGTGACCTATGTGGTGCAAGCTATGTGGTGGAAGCTATATAGTGCAGGCGATGCGATGTAAGCTGTGTGGTGCACGCTGTGGCGCAAGCTAGGCGTTGCAAGTTATGTGGTGCCCAGCACGAGGCGCCCACGGTAGGGTTCCCTCGGGCATCGGGGCCAACCCCGAAAGACCTTGGGCGATGCGTTCACAAGGCGCCTACGGACCCGAACCCGGCGAAAATAAGGGCGAGCCTTTGCGTACAAGAAGTGGTTTGTCAACTATGCATTTAAATTTGTTGTGTTCATGCCCATAGCCGTGATAAGAGCTTTCGTAATTGTCATCATCATCCGTAGCCATTTTGGCTCCAACCAGTTGGGCACAAGTGTGTTTGTGTGTGCGCGGCATCGCATCGCGGCTAGTTTCCACCGTTGATCCAGCGCATCGTCCGCCTTCCAGCGATGGCAGCCATGAAGAAAGAGATCATGGACCTCGCCGCGAAGTTCGGCAAGAAGGACGAGGCCCAGGGCGCCCTGGAGGCCATCGCCACGATGGCTGCGGAGAAAGGCGCCTCTGCAGAGCCGTTCCTGGTCGGCGTGCTCGACAAGGTTCTCGAGGCGGCGAGCGACAAGTCTAAGAACGTCGCCGTCGCGGCGGTTGCCGCCGGCAAGGCCATCGTGGACGCCATGAGCCCATTCGCCATCGACGCGGTCATGCCCCACCTGCTGAGCGGCCTGGGCGTGAAGTCCAAGCCTCCGACGAAGGAGGCCACGCTGAACCTGATCTCCTCGATCGCGGAGAAGAGCCCCAAGGCCGTCGGGTATGCGCTGGTCACCTTGTGCGGCCCGGTGGCGGAGCTCACCTGCGACATCAAGAAGGAGGTCAAGACTGCGGCGCTGGCAGCTATGACCGCGATCGCAGGCTGCACCGGGAACAGGGACTTGGAGCCCTTCCTTCCGGCGGTCGTGGAAGCGGCTTCCTCCATCAGCAACACGCACAAGTGCGTGGAGAAGCTCGCCGGCTGCATCTTCGTGCAGAATGTCGAGACCCCAGCGTTGGCCATCATGTTGCCAGTGCTGTCCCGCGGCCTCAACGACAAGTCCGAGGAGGTCAAGCGAACGTGCTGCCTCATCGTCGACAACATGTGCAAGGTGGTGGAGGATCCGGCGGCCGTGGTTCCGGTGATGCCTAGGCTGGAGCCGCTGGTGAAGGCAGCCGTGGAGAAGATCTCAGACCCCGAGGCCCGTTCGGTGGCCGAGAGGGCGCACGGCACCATGTCCAAGGCTGCGGCCGGCGCAGAGCTCAAGCAGGCGACGGTGGAGAGCGCCACGGCACTGTTTGAGGCTAGTCTGGGTGGCAAGATTGACGATGAGGCCAGGCTGTCCTTGTCGTACATCGCTGCCCTGGCTGCCGCCGCCACCAACATGCGCTCGTACGACCCAGCGGACTGGAAGAAGAGCATCGCCATCTGTGCTCCCTACGGCGACGCGATCGACGAGATCCGCACAAAGATGGAGCTCGCATCCAAGCCCGCGGAGGAGGTCGAGGAGGAGGACACTGAGGGAGTGGATCTGTACAAGGGCGCCTTCTCCCTTGCATACGGTACTCTCACCCTGCTGCGCGACGCCAAGATGCACCTGAAGCGCGATCGCTTCTACGGGCTCCTTGGCCCCAACCAGTGCGGCAAGACGACGCTCATGCGTGCCATCGCCAACGAGCAGCTCGAAGGTTTCCCCAAGCGCGACGAGCTCAAGTCCATCTTCGTGGAGCATGAGATCGAGGATGAGGAGGTTGGCGTGCAGGACGACGGCTTCCCGATTCTGAGCGTGGACAAGCCGGGGTGGTGGTGGGTCATGCACACGTGCAACGACATTTACAAGATCGCGAACCCTGTGACTGAGGAGAAGGCGAAGGAGGTCATGAAGGAAACTGGATTCGGTTACCCTGGCGGCCCGGACCGCGCTGCCCACCTCGACAACCCCGTCACGTCCTACTCTGGCGGATGGAAGATGAAGATGCAGCTCTGCGCAGCGCAGCTGATGAACGCGGACGTGCTTATGCTTGACGAGCCCACTGGGCATTTGGACGTGGACAACATCAAGTGGCTGGAGGATTGGCTGGAGTCCTTCACAGGCAGCATCATCTGCACGTCGCACTTCTCCCCATTCCTCGACAAGATGTGCACCCACATCATCGATTTCCAGGACCGCAAGCTGAAGACGTTCAAGGGCGAGAAGGGCAGGACCTTGACGCAGTTCGTCGAGAAGTACCCGGAGAAAAAGTCGTACTTCGAGCTCAGCAACGAGATCATGAAGTTCGTCTTCCCGGAGCCTGGGGCCATGGAGGGAGTGAAGAGCCGAAGCAAGGTGATCTTGAGGATGGACAAGGTCACCTTCCAGTACCCCACCAAGGACAAGCCCACCATCATGGACGTCAGCCTGACCGTCTCGCAGGTCAGCCGCGTGGCCGTGATCGGTGCCAACGGCGCGGGCAAGTCCACCGCCATCAAGGTTTTGGTCGGCGAGCAGAAGCCCACGGAGGGCACCATCTGGAAGGCCTCGGGCCTGCGCATGGCTTACGTCGCTCAGCACGCTTTCCACCATCTGGAGAAGCACATGCAGGAAACGCCCACGCAGTACATCATGTGGCGTTTCGCGGGCAACGACGACAAGGAGAGCCTGGAGTTCAAGTCCACCGAGCTGTCCGTGGACGAGGAGAAGGCCCGGGCATGCAAGTGGTGCATCGACTCGACTACCGGCAACGTCCGGAGGTGCACTGACCCCAAGGAGGACGCCAAGAAGGCCAAGGTCGACGAGGCCGGCGCGGTGGTCCCCGACGCGTGCGTGAACCGGCGCCAGAAGAAGAAGGAGAAGACCTATGAGTACGAGGTGAAGTGGCAGTTCAAGGCCATGGACCAGACCACGTGGGTGGAGAAGGACATCCTCGTGAAGATGGGCTACTTGAAGATCGTGCAGCGCGAGGACGAGAGGCAGGCAGCTATGGCCGGACTCATGACCAAGCAGCTCACGCAGCCATCTGTGGAGAAGCATTTGGGCGATTTCGGCGTGGACCCCGAGTCCGCTTCCCACACCCAGATCAACCAGCTCAGCGGTGGCATGAAGGTCAAGATCGTCTTGGCCGCCTCCATGTGGCAGAATCCGCACGTCCTCATTCTCGACGAGCCCACCAACTACTTGGACCGCAATGGTCTCGGAGCCTTGGTGCTGGCCATCAAGGACTACAAGGGTGGCGTGCTGATCATCTCGCACAACAAGGAGTTCTGTGAGAACGTTGCCACTGAGAAGTGGATCATGAAGGGCGGCTACCTCCGCATTGAGGGAGAGTCCGTCGAAGCAGAGGACGATCAGAAGGACGGCAACAAAGTCGTTGAGGACGTCTACGACGGCGCTGGCAACAAGATCGACGTCAAGAAGAATGTGTCACTTAGCGCGAAAGATGCCAAGAAGGCGATCAAGGATCTCGAGAAGAAGCTGAAGGACGGCAAGAAGAAAAAGACGCTCTCTGAGGAGGAATGTTGGGAGATCGAGGACAAGCTTAACGAGCTGAAGGAGCAGCTCTCCAAGGAGTGATACACTGCCCCTTGGTAGCAATTTTCCATTGCTGCTCTCAGGCCCAAGCTCCGCGCAGGAATCGTAAGCCGCTGGTGCAGATTCACGACATGCGAAGGTTTCGATCAGAGTGCATGGCGTTCGCAACTAGCGAGGCCGTTGGGGATTGGCGTGAAATGGCACGACCCTGTTCCCAACAGTGCCAGACATGTCATCGAGCTCATCTGGGTCCAGAAAGTACTGCATCTATGTCTTGCCATCGTCACCTTAATTAACGTCGTCAGCAGCATCGTCATATTTCATTGCCGCAGCTTGAGCATCCTAGCGCAAGTCTGAAGGAGAATAGACGCAATGATCAGCGAGGCAGCACATTGTGCACCATACGGCCGAGTCATGAGGCAGCCTGCTGTTCGGGCCCCCCGCCCCGCAGTCCTAACGGCGAGCGTAGATCAGGTGTAGCCCCGCAGAAGTCGTGAACGAAAACGATTGTTTTGAGCCCCGTCCGCTTCGTCTCTGGCCTCGTTGTCCTTGCCCTTGTCCCCCTAATCATAGTTGCCCTGGGCCTACATTGCTGGATTCTAGATTGGTTGCGCCGGCTCTGCTGCGCCATGGAGTGCGCCGGCGGCCGCCGAAACTTCAAACGGTCTGCAATCCCAACGCCTGTGGCGCATCCACAACCTTCACGGAGAAGCACGATGTGTGCCGACTTTCTGGGCATTGCCCGCAAGGCCGTCACATGTGAGACCTCTCGCCTCCACTTCGCGAGAGGCTCGCATGGGGCCTACTGGGGACCTCTTGACAGCTTGGGTCCTTTGGGGCCCACTTGGACAGGAGCTATTTGGGGCCCTCCTGACCGTCTGAGGGATTTTGGGGCCTTCGTGGGGCCGTCTTCGGGCCGTCTTAGGCGTCTTAGGACGTTTGGGGTGATAGGAAGGCGAACCTGCAAATTGTTCGAAGCAAAACCCGAACATCTCCAGCGGAACCCGAAAATCCGGAGGGAGCCGGAATCGAACATCTCCTCACGCCCGAAACACGAAAACCCGAGAAAAGCCAAACTCAGGAGAGGCCCACTCCGCAGCGCCGGGCATCCCCGAATTCGCCTGACCCCGAAACCCCCCGACGCCATCAACGCCGCCGTCAGCGCAGACGCGGCCTGGTCCGACCTGCTCGTCCTTGCTACCCTTTCCTTTGCCCTCGTAGCTCTCCTGCCTCCTTCTGCCTCGTTATACCCCTCCTGCGTCCAGGAATCTCCTCCAGATGCACCCTGCCTCGTCCTACCTCCGAGAGAGCGCGCCACGAAAGACAGCGCCAGGAGGGGGGAGGCCCCCCTCCTAGCTACCCCCCCTTCCTGACCCCCCTTGTCGACCCCCCCCCCCCGCCCCTTCCTTTTTTACGCGCTCCATAAACTACCTCCCCCGACCCCTGTCGTAAGCCCTCCCGCCCTTCCCCCTCTGAGCCCTGCAAGCGAATCCCCCCCGCTGAACTCCCTGGTTCCAAGCCCCCCCAGGGCCCCTTCCCCCTCCTCCATCGCCCCGCAAAAGTAACCCCTCTCTGAACCTCCCAGCTGGAAGCACCCCCCCCTATTCTCGAGCTCCGAAGGCCCCCCCCCCTCTGCCACCTTTGCCGGAAGCCCCCCGACTGCCCTCTTTGGCCCGCCCGACCTCTGCAAGCTAACCCCATCCCTTGAACCTCCCCCCCAAACGACAACGACGATGACGACGATGACGACGACGACGACGATGGCGACGACGACGACGACGACCACGACCACGACTACGACGACGACGACGACGACGACGACGGCGGCGGCGGCGGCGGCGGCGGCGACGGCGACGGCGACGGCGACGGCGACGGCGACGGCGACGGCGTCGGCGACGGCGACGGTGGTGTTGGCGGCGGCGTCGGCGGCGGCGACGGCAGCCGTATGCGGACTGGGCGCTCGCAGCGCCAGCAGCAAAAGCAGCACCAGCAGCAGCAGCAGCAGCCCCAGCAGAAGCGGTGGCACCAGCAGCAGCACCAGTAGCAGCATCATCAGAAGCACGAGCAGCACCAGCAGCAGCAGCACCACCAGCACCAGCAGACCAGCAACAGCAGCAGCACGAGCAGCATCAACACCAAGTGGCAGCAGCAAGCAGCACCAGCACCAGCAGCAACAACAGCCGCAGGACGCCACCAACAGCAACACCAGCGAAACCAGCAGCAGCAGCAGCAGCACCAGCAACAGCACCAGCAGCAGCACCAGCGGGGCGAACAATAATAACATTCCAGTCGATTTGCAAGGTGGAAGCGACTAGCGAGCGAAACAAACATATATTCTTCTTCACGATTCGCCACGTGACAACGCCTGAGGGGTGGGAGATGTATAATTTCACTCTGCTCGCCACGTGGCAACTCCTGGGGAGAGAAACGCATACTTCTCCACTCTCCTTGCCACATGGCGACGCTCGGAAAGGGGGGACAAACACTACTCCACTGCACTCGCCACGTGGCAGCGCCTGCGGGGCGACACAAAATTACTCCACTCGACTCGTCACGTGGCAACAAAGCGGGACGGGAACAAATGCTTTTCCTTTCTGCTCGCCATGTGGCAACTCCCCGTGGCAAGGCTTGAGAGGCAAACAAGCATACTATCCCACTCCAGCCGCCACATAGCAACGACATGTGGCGAACAAGAAGTAAAACCCCCCTTTCCTCAGCACGTGGCAATGCCGCGCGGGCCGAATATATACAATCCTATTCTACAAGCCACGTGGCAACGCTGCGGGGAGGGAAAATACAGCGCCACTCCAGCCGCAACCGGGCAACGACAGGCCGGCGAGACGGAGGTCAATGCAGACCAGGGTCAGTCATAGCGCCGGATCGTGCAGGATTTTGCAGAGCCAGCGTCGCATTGATCCAGGCTTGGGTGCAGGATCTTGCAGGATCCTGTAAGAGTTTGCAGGGTCTTGAAAGGCTTGATTGACCCGGGTTTGGATTGACCTGGGTCAGTGGTTCCCCGATGTTTTTGCGCGCCACGTGGCAAAGCCGCACAACGACAAAATAGGTAAATTCTTACACTCCACGTGGCAATGCCGCGGAGGCGAACACCAAAATCTAGTCGGCACGCGGCTCCAACGCGGTCAAAGATGAGGACGATGATGAGAACGACGACGAAAACACGAGCGAGCACGAGCGACGACGACAACGACGACAGACGGACGACGATGATTGACGATGACGTCGACGACGACGACGACGGCGACGACGACATCTACATCCACACGACGACGGCGACGACGACTCTACATACACATCGACGACGACGACCACGACCACGATGACGACGACGACGTTGACGACGACAACGCTATCGACACCGACATCGACGACGGCAATGACGACGACGATGACGACGACAATGACGACGACGACCACGAAGACACCCGCCCGCTCGCACAATCGCCCGCCCGTCCGCGCGCCCCCTCCGCCTCCGTCACCCTCTTCCTTCATTCGCACCCCTTCTCCCCATCCCCCTCCCACTCCTCCGTTGAGCCGACGATTTCTTTCCTCCTCCCTGTTGCGCATCTTCCCTCCTTTCCGCAACTTTGCCGACGGTTTCGTCATCCCCGGGTCTTGAGGGCCGACATCCTCATCCTCTTCTTCCTGCTGTTCTTCGTCCGCCTCCCCCCCAGGATGTAATTACGTCCTGAAGCTCGGACTGAATTACTTCCTTTTGGCGCAGTCGCACTATGCGTTGTATTGCATTGCGCTGCGTTGTTTTTCCTCCTCCCGCCCCCTCCTCTCCGTCCACGTTCGTCCTCCACCTCTCCTCATCGGGAAGGAGCTGATCTCGGACCCGGCTGAACTCGGACCAGGCTGAACTCGGACCCGGTTGATCCTGGATCCGGCTAAATTCGGACCCCGCTGAACTCGGACCCCGCTGATCTCGGACCTGACTTGGACCCAGCTGAACTTGGACCCGGCTGATCTCGGACCCGACTGAATTGGACCCAGCCGTTCCGACTGTGACGTGAGGCTTCCGCCGAGCGCTCCGCAAGGGGATGCTGACCTCGGACTTGGCTGAATTTGGACATGGCTGTTCTCGGACCCGGCTGAACTCGAACCCGGCTGAATTCGGACCCAGGCCTTAAGTCTTGATTATCCCCGGCCAAGACAGTTTTGTCGGCGGCGGGGAACGGTGGGGCCAAATTTCATTATAACCTGGGAAAGTACGAAGCGTAGGTAGGATTTTCTTGATATGAATCATCATCATTATCATTTGTGTGAGGATGTTTCAGGCGAAATTCGCAGTTACGAAGATTCGCCGAGCCTCAGCGAGCAGGGTATCGCTATATCATGATATTTCTCCGGATTCCTATTCCTTTCGCCCCTCCAGGCAGGCCTCGCCTCAGCGAGCAGGGGCTCGCTAGACCACTGCATTTCTTAGGATTCATGTTCCTCCCACGCCTCCAGGGAGGCCCCACCAGAGCGAGCGCGGTATCCCTATACCATCGTATTGTTTAGGGTTGCTACTCCTCCCACCCGACAGGGGAGGCCCCGCCAGAGCGAGCAGGGTATCGCTATACCACAGTATTTCTCAGGATTCCTACTCCTCTCACCCCTGCTGCGGCGCTCTGCCAAGGACGTCGCGGCTGCCGAGAAGGAAACGAGCTGCTGCTAGTGGTTCACGACCCCTCCCCTTAATCCCAATCATCATCCTCATCAGCATCCTCAGCATCCTTCTCAACATCCTCTTCTTCCGGGAAGACGTTTATTATCCTCCCTCGACCCCGAACTTGATCATCCCCCCCTTGTGAATCTCATTGGCGTAGGGCTACTCTCGGACACGCTGAACTCGGACCCCGCTGAATTCGGACCCGGCTGAACTCGTACCCAATTGAAGTCGGGCCCGGCTGAACTCGGACCCGGCTGATCTCGGACCTGGCTGAATTCGGACCTGGCTGAATTCGGATCCCGCTGAACTCGGACGGCGTTAATGTTAGATTTGGCTGATTTCGTACTCGGCCGTTCCGGCTGTGGCGCGAGCCTCCTGTCGTATGCGCCGCAGAGGAAGGGGCGGATCTCGATCGGACACGGCTGAATTCTTCACGCTTCGCGTATCCCCACCAGCCCATCTCAAAACAGCAACTCTTGCGAAGCATGCCGACAGTCGTGTTTTTCAGGCGTGTTTCCGCCTGCCCCCGCATATCTCCCCTGTTCCTCCTTCCTCCCGCCTTGTACATCCTCCTTGTGGTGGGAGCGGGAGAAGGACGAGGCGGAGGAGGAGGGAGAGAAAGCGCTCCTCGTGGTTTGAGTCGTTTGGGGTTTCTCGTCCTGGTGTGAGTCGTTCGGGCCCTTCTTCCTGGTGTGAGTCGTTCGGGCTCTTCGTGGTGTGAGTCGTTCGGGCTCTTCGTCCTGGTGTGAGTCGTTCGGGCTTCTCGTGGTGTGAGTTGTTCGGGCCCCTCGTCCTGGTGTGAGTCGTTCGGGCCCCTCCTCCTGGTGTGACTCGTTCGGGCTCCTCGTGGTGTGAGTCGTTCGGGGCCCTCGTCGTGGTGTGAGTCGTTCGGGCTCCTCGTGGTGTGAGTCGTTCGGGCGCCTCGTCCTGGTGTGAGTCGTTCGGGCCCCCCTTCTGGTGTGAGTCGTTCGGGCTCTTCGTGGTGTGAGTCGTTCGGGCCCCTCGTCCTGGTGTGAGTCGTTCGGGCTCCTCGTGGGGCCTCTTGGGGGCCTCTTGGATGCTCTTGGGGCCTCTTGGGGCCTCTTGGGGGCCTCTTGGGGGCCTCTTGGGGGCCTCTTGGGGCCTCTTGGGGGCCTCTTGGGGGCCTCTTGGAGGCCTCTTGGAGGCCTCCTGGGGGCCTCTTGGGGCCAGCTTGGGGCCTCTTGCGACCTCCTCGGAAGCGCAAAGAAACGCTGCCCCCTGAGAAGGACAAAATGAGGCCAAAACCTTCGTAAAATCAATGATTTTGCTATGAAGGAAGATGAGCGCGGCCCCCTCAGGAGGCCAAAATGGGGCCAGAACCGTAGTAAAATCAATGGTTCTGGCTTCAAAGAAGAGGAGAGGGACTTATCTCCGTCCCCCCCCGTCGGGGCCAGAATCCTCGTGAGGGTCGTCGTTTTTTAGCCCTCCCAGGAGTCGAAAAAGACCCCTCCAACGACCCGCGGGACTCCCTCTCCAGGTCCAGGGGGAGGGGGTAGGGGGAGGGGTAAACCCCTCCCCGAAGGGGAAGAAGGGGGGTTGAGGACAGAGAGAGCTCGCTAAACCACTCACGCCCAAAGGGCTGGTGGGATTTGGACTGGGCTGATCTCGGACGCGGCTTTACTTGGACTTGAAAGCTCGGATCTCTTGGATTTGGAGCCGGCTGAACTCTGATCCTCAAATTTTGTTTAGGTGGCCTTCTCGGAGATCAAGCTCCCCGACACTATCCTGCCAGTCTGCCAGTTGCTCGCTCTGGGCGCCGCGATAATCCCTGCCATGGACGAGCCGTTGGAAGCGGTGGCGCAGGCGCACAGTGAAGTGGCGATCCCAGTTGGGGAGACGGCGACGCTGCAGGGCATGCTGGCAGATCCGCCCGAGCCGCAGCAGCCGGCGGAGAAAAAGTGGCAGCAGGAAGAGCTGCGTCCCGTGCAAGCCGCAGCTGCGAGCTCCTCAGCTGGAAAGCGCCCCAAAGCAGCCACTCACTACGGACCAGCGCGCCGCCATCGCTACGCTTGCCGAAGCAGTGGGCGGCAGCGAGGCGACGCAGATAAATGTTCGAATCTGGGTTTATATCGCCGGCACGCAAGTGGATACGACATCTAATGTTTAGTCGTCTTGTTGTACTGTTGTATATTCTCTCCGCGCTGTATGTGGCGCCTGCTTGGCTTTGGATGTGGTTGTTCGGTTTGCGTCAGCGTTCGCGGGATCGACCAGTTTGCAAGAGGCTCGGTTTTCACTTGGAGCTCCGTGGACAACAGTGCCGCTCGACAGATAGCTTGCGCCAGCGTGACACACATTTCTCTAGAGCACTTGGCCAGTGCATGTTCTGTGGTTCGATGCAGCGGTGGAGCGTGGGATCGTTGGCCATCTGGGCCTGGCGCCCCAGGAGCTGTCAGACATGCGGGCTGGGCGGCCCAGCCGTGTCCAGGTGACCTGGTTGCTGGAGTGATTGCGCTATGCTGTAGACGGTCGCTGGGCTCGCCACTCGGTCTGGGTTCGCGTCCCAGGCGCGCGTGGCGCGGTCGACTCCGCGACGGGCCCGGCGGCTCTGAGTCGAGCGTGCGCGGCTCCAGAGGTGGGCGGCTCGTGTTTCATCTTCTCAGCGGCCAGGGGGCCCGCTCGACCAATGGGGCGACAGCTCCCACGATCAATCTTCCCAGATAGTCTTGATTATGAAGCCACACGCACCAACTGTTTCATGGTGCCAGGACGCGTCGCAGCATTTGGCAAGGGGCATCTACTCCGCAGGTGGGCCCGCCCCTCCCAGAGTCCACGAGGAAAGCGACGGGCCACGTGGCCAAGCCTGCGAGGCCGGGCCCATGATCTTCCCGGGCAGGAAGCCAATCTCCGGTTTCATCGTCGACCAGTCCGCAATTGGTTTTCGGCGAGGGCCCAGACTCCCAGGTGGTGCCGGACCCCCGCGGTCGTCGCCAAGGCCTCCGCTTTCCGCGGCTTGCGCGCTGATCAGATGCTCTTCAAAGAGAGCGGCCTCTGCGCCGCGGCGGCCTTCATCCCGCCGCATTTCGGCAAGGGCTGGAGTTTGATTCTCATCTTCAGTTTCCTCGTTGGCTTGGGTTCCTCCAGGATTGGCCACGGTCATCGCTGACCCCGAGAACAAGAGGGCCAGGGGGCGGGGGGGTCGGCGCGCGAAGGGGGGGCGTCGGGCGGCATCGGGCTAGGACTTGTCGAGCGGGGGGCTTCAAGAACCAGAGGGCTAGGGGGTGGAGGTGCCGGGGCGCGGCGGGGCGTCGGTCGGTTTCGAGTGAGGAGTGATGGGCCCCAAGGACCAGAGGGGGGGGCGGGGGCGCCTGGGCGCGGGCGATGGCGCCGGTCGGGCCTGGGCCAGGAATTGCCGAGCGGGGGGGCCCGAGAAACATGGGGCAGGGGCGCCGGGGCGCGGGGGGGCGCCAGTCGGCTTCGGGCCAGGAGTTGACGAGCGGCGGGCCCCAACAGCCCATGGGCCAGGAGGCGGCGTTCACGGGGCGTTGGTCCTTTATCTTTTCGGGGCGGGGGCTGTCGAGCGGAGGTCTCTGAGAACCAGGGGCCCAAGGAATGGGGGTGGAGGGGCGCGGGGGGGGCGGGCGCAAGTCGGGCTCGGGCCAGGAATTGTCGCGCGGGGGTCCTCGGAAAAAAAAACCACGGAGCAGCGGGCCGCGGGGGTGGAGGGCGCCGGTCGGTTTCGGGTTCGGTGTTATCGCGTGGGGGGCCGCGGGAAATGCGACGGGGCGGCGTTGCGGGGCGGTTTCGGGCAAGGAACTTTGGACTGGGGGGTCTTAAACGTCAGAGGGCGCCGGGGCGCGAGAGGGCGGGGCGTCGGTCGGCTTCGGGCCAGGAGCTGTCGCCTGGGGGGGGGCCCAGAGGGCGCAGACGCAAAGGGGGGGGGGGGGCGCCATTCCGTTCCGAGCTAGGAATTTTCGAGCGGGGGGTCCCAAGAGGGGGGGCCGGGGGCTCCGAAATCCAGAAGACCTGGGGGTGGAGGGCGCGGGAGGGGCTTATGTTGGGAATTGTCCGGCGGGAGGCCCCAATGTCCAGATCCAGGGCGATGGAGCGCCGGGGCGGGGTGGGTCGGTCGGTTTCGGGCTGGGAGTTGTCGAGCGGAGGTGCTGAGAATTACCGAGGGACCACGGGGCGGGGGCGCCGGGGTGCGGAGGGGGGGGTGGGGGGGGCGCCGGTCGGGTTCGGGCCAGCGATCGGCCCGGGCGCGGGGGCGAGCGTGTGTCCGTTGCGGGGCAGGAGTCGCCAAGTGACGGGCCTCGAAAACCACTGGGCCAGGGGGCGGCACTGCCGGGCCGCAGCGGGAGAAGAAGCTGGGCGGTTTCGGGCCGGGAATCGTTGAGAGAGGGGGTCGGGGTGCTGGGGCGCAAGGGGGGATGGGGGGGGCGTTGGTTGGTTTCTGACCAGGATCCTGGTCAGAAACCAATTCGAATTGATGAGCGGGTGGCCCCCGATCCAAAGGGCCAGGGGGGGGCGCAGGGGCGCGGAAGGAGGGGCGCCAGTCGGGGTCGGGCCATGAGATGTCGAGAGGGGGTTTCAAGAAAGAGAGACCAGGGGGCGAGGGTGAAGGGGCGCGGGGGAGGGCGTCGGTCGGGAGGTCTCAGTGACCCGAGGGTTTTGGGGGAGAGATGCCGCGGCGCGGGGGGCGGCGACGGTCGGCGTCGGACTGTCGAGTGGGGTCTCCCCAAGACGTCCGGGGCCAGGATTTGGGCGCGCTGGGGCGCGTGGGGGGGCGGCGTCGGTCGGTCTCGGGCCAGGACTTGCCGAGTGGGAGGTCCCAAGAACCAGAGGGCGAGGGGGCTGAGATGCCGGGGCGCGGGGGGAGGGGGGGGGCGTCGGTCGGTTTCGGGCGAGGAATTATCGAATGGGAGGTCCAATGAGCCAGAGGACCAGGGGGCGGGGGTGCCAGGGCGGGCGGGGGGGGCCGCTGGCCTCGTCGGGTCAAGAATATCGAGCGGGGGGGCAAGAACCCGAATGCCAGGGGGTGGGGTTCCGGGGTTCTCGATGAACCAGAGGGCCATGGGGGCGGGAACGCTGGGGCGCGGGGGGGGGCGTTCGCCAGCTCCGGGCCAAGAATAATCGATGGGGGGGGGGGTGGCTAAGAACCAAGGGGCCAGGGGGTAGGGGAACCGGGGCGCGGGGGCGGGGGCGTCTGTCTGTTTTTCGGGCGTTGTCGAGAGAGGGGGCCCAAGAACCAGTGGACCAGAGGGCGGGGGCGCCAGGGTGCGGAGGGGAACGCTGGTTTGTTTAGGAGCAGGGATTGTGGATTCGAGAGTTCCAAGAGCCAGGGAATCATGGGGTGGGGGTGCCGGGTCGCGGGGGGAGGCGCGGGTCGGTTTCGGACAAGGAATTGTCGGCGCGGGGCCAGGGCGTGCGAATGAGGAGGCGCGGGGGGGGGCGGGGCGTCGGTCGGTTTTGGGCGAGGAATTGTCGATGGGGGGGGATCCCGAGAGCCGGGAGACCAGAGTGGGGGTGCCAGGGCGCGGGGGGGGGGGGGGGCGATGGTCGGTTTCGGGCCAGGAACTGACGAGCGGGATGTGCCAAAAACCAGCGAGCCACGGGGCGGGGGGGGCGAGGAGTTGTCGACGGCGGGAACCTAAGAATCAGAAGACCAGGGAGCGAGGATGTCGGGGCGCAAAAGGGAAGCGTCGGGCGGGTTCGGGCCAGGAGCTGTCGAATGGGAGCTCCCCAGGCGCACAGGACCAGGAGGAGGGGATGTTTGGGCGCGGAATGGGGGCTTGAGCGGCTTCGGGCCAGGAGTTGTCAAACGGGGGGTCCCAAGGGCTAGAGGATTAGGGGGTGGGGGTGCCCGGGCGCGGGGGAGGGTGCGTCTTTCGGTTTGGGCGAGGAATTGTCGAGTGGGGGCCCCCAAAATGTTTGGGACCAGGGGGGGTATGCTTTGGCGTGGAGGGGGAACTTCGTCGGTTTCGGGCTCGAGATGGGCATCTGGACTGTAAGAACCAGAGGACAACGGAGTCGGGATGCAAGGGCGGGGGAGGGGGCATGGGTCGGTTTCGGGCCACGCGTTGTCGAGAGGGGGCCCGAAGAATCAGAGGACCAGGAGGTGGGCATGCTGGGGCGTAAGGGGCTACTCGCCACGTGACTGCGCTTGAGGGGCGCAAGGAAATCTTCCACGACGCTCGCAACGTGGCAACGCATCCCGTGTGGGGGTAAGAGAAATACACTAGCGGACTTGTTGATTCTCCTTTCTAAGAGGAGAATATACTCTACCCCCCCTGGACTTATCGGTTCCCCTCTCGGGTATGTAAACCATATATGATTTTGACCACTCGTCCATCCTACATATCTAACCATACCATCCCAGCCAGGCCGGGCTCCCCCCTCCTGAGGTTCCCTTGTTAAAACAAACAGTTTGCGGTGACATTTTTGGTTCTAGCATAACACCTGTTCACGATTTTTTTGGACATATATATATATATAATAACGAAGTGCACACGCGCGCGTCGTTGCGCGCGCATGCCGAAATCCTTCAAACACATTCCGTGCGGGAGAGATTTCGCCATCATGTTTCAGGAAAAACATACGCAAACACAGGGTTTCGCAACACTGATTTGCTAAAAAAGCTTCCGCGCGAGCTCTTGCGAAATCTTAAGAAAACCATCGGTTTTCACGGTTTTCATAACATGCTACCAAACGGGCTGCGCGCGCGCATGTCGAAATCTGTCGAACGCCCTTGCGCGTGTGCCGTCGCGAGAATCATCTGCAAACAATGTGACGAATTGCAGACGCGCGCGTCGTCGCGGGCGTACGCCGAAAACCTTCAAAACCCATCGGTTTCGGAAGGATTTCAAAATCGTGCGTCCAAAAAACCTACGAAAACCTCAGGTTTCGCAACACGGATTTTCAACAAAAGCGTGCGCGCGCGCTCTTGCGTCGTCGTCGTCGTCGTCGTCGTCGTCGTCGTCGCCGTCCTCCCTCCTCCCGCGTCGTCGTCGTCGTCGCCTACGTCGTCCTCTGTCTTTTCTCGTGTTCGTCGTCGTCGTCCTCTTTGGCGTCGTGGTCGTTTCCGTCGTCGTTGTCGCCGTGGTCGTCCGTCCTCCTCCTCCCACGTCGTCGTCGTCGTCCGTCGTCGGCGTCTCGTCGTCGGTCCCTCCTATTTCGTCACCGTCGTCGTCGTCGTCGTCGTTCCCTCCTCCCTCGTCGTTGCCGTCGTCGGCGTCGCCGTCCTTCCTCCTTCTTCGTCGTTCGCGTCGTCGCCGTCCTCCCTCCTCCCTCGTCGTTGTCGTCGTTGTCGCCGTCGTCGTCCTCCCTCCTTCCTCGTTGTCTTCGTTGGCGACGTCGTCGTCGTCGGCGTCGGCGTCGGCGTCGTTGTCGTCTTCGTCGTCGTCGACGTCGGCGTCGTCGTCGTCGCCGCCGTCGTCGTCGTCTGCGTCGTCGTCGTCGGTGTCGTCGTTATCGTAGTCGTCGGCGTCGTCATCGTCGTCGTCGTTGTCATCGTCGTCGGCGTCGGCGTCGGTGTCGTTGTCGTCGTCGTCGGTGTCGTCGTCGTCGTCGCTGTCGGCGTCGTCGAAGTCGTTGGAGACGTCGTCGGTGTCGTCGTAGTCGTTGTCGGCGGCGTCGTCATCGTCGTTGTCTCTGTCGTCGTCGGCGTCGCTGTTGTTGCCCAGTGCCATGTGGTACCCACCGTCACGGTCTCAAGAGATTTTGCAGACCAAGTTGCGGGTGGGTGGGTGGGATGTTTGCGCGAGCAGTGGAGTGGACAACTCATTGCGAACAGAAATTAGCTACCCCTTCAGAAGCTGCAGATGATTTTTGCCGCCGTTTCTGTCAGCGCCGCCAATGAGACCGCCGCCGACACCGTTTTCGTCGTCGCCACCGCCGCCGCAGCCGCCGCTGTCGCCATCAACGCCGCCGTCGGCGCTGACGCCGTCCTGGTCCGACCTGTTCGCCCCTGCTCCCATCTCCTTTGTCCTCCTAGCTCTCCTACCTCCGTTGGCCTCGCGTCTTACCTTCTCCTACGTCCACAAGCCTCCTCCAACTGCCCCCTGGCTCGTCCCACGTTCCCGTCCCTGCTACTATGTCCTGCCCCCTCACACTCCTCTTACCTCCTCCTGCCTCCTACGACTTCGTCCTGCCTCCTTCGAGATGCCCTCCTGAGCTTTTCCAGTCAGGCTCCCTCCCAGCTCTTCGGGTTCCCCCCCTCCTAATGGTTTCGGGTCTGGGCCTCCTGAGTTTTCGGGTTTCGCCCTTGTCGCGATTTCGGGCTAGGCCCTGCCAGTTTTCGGGTTTCGAGTGGTTCTCTGGGTTCAACCTTCTTCCGTTCGGGGTCCCTCCGGAGGCCCTCTTGAGCCGGTTTGGAGTTCTCTTGGGGCTCTCGGTGGGCTTTTTTGAGGGCTCGAAGACCGCAGGTGGGCCGATCTTGGACCGAGGAGCGCGGCAAGCGAAACACATTGAAAACGCATGGAACAACAAACGCCATGTTTATTCCCAACCCTCCTGCATTGGGCTCTCGCTTTGAGCACTGTGGTCTCCGTCTTCCTCTTCATCCCGCCTCTCTCCTCCTGCCTGGGCTCCTTGGCCTCTGCCAATTATGCAACTGCCTCCACTTTCGTGAACGCCTGGGGGGCTCGGGGGAGTGGTGTCCTACGCAGACCCACGTGGCACCCCACCTCTTTGGGCGCAGTTTATTGCGGAAACGTCGACAGTTATGTAGGCGTTTGGGAGGTCCATCTGAGCTTCCCGGAGCGCGAAACAGCGCGCGAGGCGCGCGTGCGTTGGGTACAGTGCGCGTGCATGGTGTACATTCGAAGTGTTTATGTGTTGCCGCTAGCCAGGAATAAATACATGCTCCACTTGTTCTTAGGGGGAGCGGCTTGCAAGGGTCTTCGGACAAGTTTTCCGCGCAGGTATCGCGGGCATTCTTGCAGAGTATTGCGACCCGACCTCCTTCCCATAACCACTGTGCGCACCCGTAGCCATTCGGGCTCGAGGATGTTTTCGGATCGAGGCAGTTCGAAGTCACCAATTCCTTCAAATATCCAATTGCATGCGCTAAACCCTACCATCATGCTAAAGCAGCTGCGCAGTGGGAAGGAGGTTGAGTTTAAGGTTTGCATCCCCTCAGTGTCCGCTTCTTCGTTCTCCTCTTTCTTCATCCTTTCTCCTCTTCTCAGAGTCTCAGATGTTGCTAGAAGTACCCCTGGCCCAAGGTACCCCAGGATTCTCGTGGTAGCCCAGACGGCCTCCTGAGCACCCCTCACGAGGCCCAGAGGGCCCCAGGGGCTCCAAAATGGAGCGGAAAGCCGGGGGCATCTTGGGCCAGGGGCATTTCTAGCAACACCCGATCTTCCCGCTCGTCGCCCTCCTCCCTCATCCCACTTGGAAGACGCATCGAGTGCCTCTTGAGCTTTCTTGGCGGGCCCTTGGGAGCATGTTGGGAGCCCGTTCGAGGTCCGTCGGAGGTATCGGGACCGTCTTGTGTGCGATGGCTCCACCGAGCTTACCCGAAGAGGTGCGATTGAACATTCTTGGGAATGTTTTGGCGGGTCGTGGTGCCGCCTTGGAGCCCTCCTGGGCCGTCCTGGGAGACACTCGGACAGTGCTTGGGGTGTTTTGGGGCTCTCTTGGTACGATTTTGGGCCGTCGTGGAGGCTTATTAGGGCTCTCTGAGATTTTCCTGAGACAATATGAAGCCGAAAAGTACCAGGAGCAAACCATTGCGATTTGTAATTTGTTTTCATTGTGTTTCGCTTCTCCGGGCCTCTTGGGACACCTTTGGGAGATGTTGAAGTGTTCGGAAGCTTTTTTGCTAGGCGTCCTGTAACGTTTTGGGGCAGTCTTAATACATAGGGGCCTCTGGAGGCCCAAAATCGTGCCCGTGAGCAAAATCATAGAGGGGGGTGCGGGTCTCTATTTTTTCGACATGCTAAAGACACCTTGCCAGACAACACATAAGCTTTTCAACACGCCTCAGCGTGCCGAGGTACGGTGGCGGATTGAATTGTTGTTCAAGCAATGCCAAGTCGGTGGCGCGTCCTGCTGCAAGTTCTCGTGGCACGGCCTGTCATGACATTCAACAGTTCGAAGATCACGCTTCGGGGAAGTGACAGTCCAGTCAACGGCTTCGAGAAGTTGGACAAGTACGCACACTGCGACGGCAAAGTTGATCCCTACATGGTCTACCAGAGGAATCTCGGCCTCAGTCCAGAAAGGGTGCTCAGCGCTGGTCGAGAAGCAGGCCTACTTCAGCAGGAGGCAGTTGCAATATTCGGATGGACTCTGGGCGACTTCGAGTTTTTAAACAAAATTGCATGGGGCGCCCAGAATGTGACGTTCGGTGTCGAGCCCTTTGGCTTTCCGCACTGCACATTGACAAAGGCAGACGTGTTGCCGTACATCGAAGTTCTTGTCAGTGGTTTGCAAAGATTGCCCGCAGCCCAGCCAGCAGTGTTGTGGCGGGGAAGTAAAAGATCCGCAAAACGTTTGGGTAAAGTCATTGCAGGTGGTTTCGACAGCACGTCGCGGAGTTTTGACGCGGCCTTCAACTTTGTCAAGGGCAGCGGGGGTTCTCTTTGGGCGATTGAAAGCCACACAGCAGGCAAGGACATCTCCAACTTCAGCGACAAGCCTGCTGAAGGGGAGGTTCTGTTTCCCGCAGGCAGTCGCCTCGAAGTCGTGGATTGTTCACCGGTGGTTATCACGGATGCAATTCGGCGGAAAGTGAAAGAGGCCGAGACGCCATCACAGAAGATTGATATCATTTGTTTGAAGGGTGCACCGTCTATTATCGTGGATTCTTATTTTGTTTTAGTCTAGATCTGCGCATCTTAAGAGTTGACAGTGCGCAAAATAGTCAGTGAGTGTGTTCGACAAGATGTCGCTGAACTAGTTTCTTTTTTTGACGATATTGGGTTGTTAGAGGGAAGCGTCGCGCACGAGGGTGCCGACACAGCAGCCTCATGCCCCAGATAATATCTCATCCCCCTCTCAAGCGCCCGGTCTTGATTTTCTTTCTTTGGCCAAGACAGAGTTGGTGGGGTGAGAGGAGCGGCGAGGCCAAACTTCATTATCGCCGAGGTACGTTACTAGTCGAAGTTACCATTTTCTTATGTTGGCTAGCAACATCATCACGGACGTGTTGCAGGGAAATAGTATATTCTACAGGCTTACGCCACATCCGCCGACCCCTATATAAACGATTGCGCCTCCAGGACTGCATTTCACGAGGTTTGTCCGAATCATGACACGGCGCTCGACATCGTTATTGTTTCTTTGTTGCTGTTGTCGTACCTCTTGGTGTTCTTTTGTTGCCTTTTGGTGGCATCTTGTCTTGTCTGCAGGCCATCTCCGGCCGCCTCGAGGCATCTTGGGCCAAGTTTTGGGGCCTGTTGGGGGCTTCCTGGGGGCTTCTTGGAGGCCTTTGAGGTTCTCTTGGGGGCCCCTCAGGGCCTCTTGGGGTGTTCTTGGGGCAGGCTGGGGGCGTCTTGGGGCCGAAGGCTCGAAAAGGTGCCCTCTGGACTCCCTCTGCCATCTGGTGGCCCCCCTGGCTGTCTTGGGGGCTTCGTGGGCTGTTTTTGGACCCTCTTCGATCCCTCTTGGGGGCCCCATCGGCCGTCCGGGGGCGATATTGAAGGTTTTTGTTGTGCCCGTCTTGGACGTTGTGAAAGCCGATCAGGCGAGTATGCAGAACATGTTTTTAGTTCCCACGGGAATTTTACGATTTTTTGTTTCTTGGGACCCTCTTTGGACGCATCTTGGGGGCCTTTTGGTGACGTCAAGGAACGACATGTCGGCGAATCGTGGCCCTCTGGGACCGTCTGGGGAGCGTTTTGCTGCCTTCTTGTCCCGTTGTGGAGCCCTCCGCTCCCCCATGGCGCGTTCGGTCTGGGGTCGGGCCAGGTCAAGGGGGGTGGGTCAAATTGCCAGTTTGGGGTCCCTGGAGGGGGAGTATGGGAAGGGATAATCTCACACGCCTAGAGACCCACAAGGGGTCGGCGGATTCTTGGTCTTGGGTCTTTTTGTGGCAGAGCTTCGGCCGCATAACTGGCCGCCAACGAAATCCTCATCAGTTTTTCTCCAACCATGCCAGCTCTCATATCCACTTCGGCCACTCTCGCACGTGGAGCCCCCGATACCCTAACTTTGAGAGTTGCTTCGCCTGCGATCGTATCAACAATGCTCTCGCTGAGGATGGGGTGTGGCAGGATACGCCGAGAGAGGTACTCATCTGTCTGAACTAGCGCGTTCTGTGGTCGCTTGGAGGGGAGGGGGGGAGTTGTAATCGGAACCCCCTCCCACCTTGGATGGACGGGGGAGGGGTTCGAACCCACTCCCCCCCCTCCAGTGACGGAAGGGGGGGTGGGTCGAACCCTGCTCCCCCCCCCCCTTTCCCACCCTCTCCTCTCTCCTCGGGCCGGCGCTTGCGTCGGCGGCGGCCAGCGGCGGCGGGAACGACGATTTCTTTTTCTGGGCCAGCGCCGGCGCCTGCGGCGGCGGGCGGCGGCGACGGGGAGCGTCGACGAGGACGACGGTGGTGGTTGTGGTGGTGGTGGCGGTGGTGGTGTTTGCGGTGGTGGTGGTGGTGTGGTGGTTTGTTGTGGTGGTGGTGGTAGATGGTGGTGGCAGTGGTGGTGGTGATGGTGGTTTGGTGGTGGTGTGGTGGTGGTGGTGGTGGTGGGTTGTGGTGGTGGTGGTGGTGGTCGTTTGTAGTGGTGGTTTGTGGTGGTGGTGGTGGGTTGTGGTGGTGGCGGTGGTTGATGGAGGTGGTGCAAGGTGGTGGTGGTGGTGGTGTGGTGGCGGCGGTGGTGGCGGTGGTGTGGTGGCTTGTGGTGGTGGTGGTGGTGGTGGTGGGTTGTGTTGCTGGTGGTGGTGGTGGTTGTGGCGGTGGTGGTGGTGTTGCGGTAGATTGTGGTTGTGGTGGTGGTCGTGGTGGCGGGTTTTGGTGGTGGTGGTGATGGTGAGTTGTGGTGGTGGTGGTTGTGGTGGTGGTGGCTGTGGTGGTGGTGGTTGCGTGGTGGGTTGGTTGCGGTGGTGGTGGCTTGAGGCGGCGGTGGTGGTGGTAGTGGTGGTGGTGGTGGTGGTCGTGGTCGTAATCGTCGCTGCGTCCCCGCCGTCGACGGCGCCAGCGCCGGCGCTGCTGGCCGCCGCCAGCGCCGGCGCCGGCTTCAGGGGGGGGCCTCTGGTCATCGTCGGTGCGTCCCCACCGTCGGCGCTGCTGGCGGCCGCCAACGCCAGCGCCAGCGCCGGCGCCAAGGGGGGGGTGGGGAGGTTTGAAATCCCCCCCCCCTTCTCATCATCCTCCTCCGCCTCTTCCTCCTCCTCCTTCTCCTCCTTCTCCTCCTCCTCCTCCTCCTCCGCCGCGTCGCGGATTAACGATGTGGAGACCCCCGCACGTGCACGCATTTTCCCGACGGTTGTCGTGTATGGAAGTCTGAGTGCGAGCAAGCATGAGTGCGAGTGGCATTGAGACTGAGCGGCTGAGTACGAATGCGTCTAAATGTGCGTGAGACCGAGTTTGAGCGAACTAGTACGAGTGGGTCTCAGAATGCGTCGGTTCGAATACTGGCGGTTCCGATTACATTTGGATCCAGACACGAGTGTGTCAGAGTATGATTGGGGTTGAGTACGATTGAGTTCGAGTATGTGTGGATTCGAATAGCAGTGAGTGCGGATATTCGTGACTCGGGATGAGTGCGCGGCCGACTAGGAGCCAGTTTGAATATCAGTAGGTACGGATGCGACTGAGTCTGTGTGTTGTCGTCATCGCCATCATCGCCGCCACCATCGCTATCATCATCATCATCATCATCATCATCATCATCATCATCATCATCATCATCATCATCATCATCATCATCATCATCATCATCATCATCATCATTAAAATCGTTTCCTGTGATGTCGACGTCGCCATGTCATTGCGCCCGGGTCACCGCGTCGCCGCGATTTGCCATGGAAGGCCGATTGGCGCTCAAGGGCCACCGGGACGCCGATTGGCATTGAGAGCCGATTGGTCACCGAGACCCTGAAGGGCCGGTTTGCCCGAGTCGGGCCACCGAGACGCCGATTGGCATTGAAGGGCCTTCGCGTCAGCGCGGCCCGGGAGACGCGCGCTGGGGAACCCCCGTCGGTTAGCGCCACCATGGCCGCGTCGGTTGCGCAAAACCAGCTGGCCGTCGCGCGCGCGAAAATGCGCGCGCCAGCGCAGTCGCATGGAAGCGCCTGCCAGCACCGCGCAGTCATAGCAATCGCCGCCGCATGAGTTTTGCAAGTAAAATTGCGGGTGGGTAGGTGGGATGATTGCGCGGGCAGTGGAGCTGTCTTTTTCAAACTGACTTACACAACGTATACGACACATTAGACAATGCCCCCCCTCATATTGCGCCACGCCGACTGCGCAACAGGCACTGCGCACCACATATGTTGCGCCATATAAGTTGCACCTCGGATATTCCACAACGTTGATTGTGAAACCCAAATGTCTTTTTTTCCCGGAAAGAGTTTTAGGATGTATCCACCCTGGTTAAAGGCGTGTTTTTTTTTCGTCTTGTAATTTACAGATGACCTTGCACCATCGCCCATCCGAAGTATAATTCCGTACCATCACGGCCAGGCTAGAGTTCGCCCCCTTTCCCCACCTTTGATCCCCGTGAAAAATCAAACCTGTGCGCGCGCACTCGTTTAACACGAATCTTTCGGTTTCGAGAATCCCTTGCGCCATATGGGACGAAGTGCACATGCGCGCGTCGTCGCGCGCACATGCCGGAACGTTTCAACAACTTCCCAGTTTTCGTAATGATTCAAAAACGAGCGACACGAAAACATTATACATATATATATATATATATTAAAAAATATGGCTTCGCTGCAACAGTTGTCAAAACCACTTGCGCTCGCGCTCTTGCGAATTTGATAAATAAGGAAACCATAGGATTTTCAAAGGTTTCACAGAACGCGATCAAATGGGCCTCTCGCGAGTGCATGCCGAAATCGTTCGGTCGCCCTTTTTTCGCGCGTGCTGTCGCAAGAACCCCTTGCGACAAGTGGGACGAAGTGCGCGCGCGTACATATGTTGTTCCAACGTAGTCTCCGTATGGGCTTCAAAATCGAGTGTCCATGAAACATGTTTTACATCGGTGAGGGAAACAAACGGACGGCGCTCGCGCCGTTGCGAATCTTCACGGAAACCATACGTGCTACACCATGTTCGCCACATTCCGCAAAACGGGCCTTTCGCGCCGCATGTCGGCATCATTCGACCGCTCTTGCGCGCGTGCTGGGGGGGGCGGCACTATCCGTATCTAAGAGTACCATGTGGACCAGTCTCGCGCGTCGGCCGCGCGCGCTTGTCGAACTCCTTCCAAAACCTTCATCTCCGACGCGAGAACGCCGTCATCGTCGTCGGCGTGGTCAGCACTGGCGCCGTCACTGGCCGTGTCGTCGCCGTTGTCATGGTCGTTGCCATCGTCGCTATAATCATCATCGTGTCTACCTTTCGCCGGCGTTGCCATGATACCGCGCCCGCCCAAGTGGCCGACTCGCACTGAAGTACCCGTTGGGAAATGCCTACAGGTCAGCGCCACCGCGGCCGCGTCGGTCGCGCCAAAGTAGCTGGCCGTGGGACGCGCGAGCATGCGCGGGCTAGCGCGGCCGCAAATATCAACCAGCCAGCACCACGTATCCATTGCAATCGCCGCCGCACGTGGTTTGAACATCAAGGTGCCGGTGGGTGGGTGGAACGATTGCACGAACAGTGGAGCTGGCAATTGCGAGTTCCACAAATAAATTGCACCACGTAGATTGCACCACATAGGTTG